GTTCATTCTCAACGGATTCTCCTCCAGCTCCTATCCCACAAATGCAGTTGTTCCCCAAGGCTCCATCCTAGGCCCTACTTTGTTCCTTATCTTCATCAACGAACTTTCTGACATCATAGATTCCCAAGTAGGCATCTACACGGACGACACTACAATTTACTACTGCCTCAAAAACAAATCTAGTGTCACTGAGAAAACTAACCTGGCCATTTGTCTTGAAAAGGACCTCCAATCAGTTGTGAACTGGGGCAGGAATTGGCTGGTTAACTTTAAAGCTTCAAAAACAAAACTGTTCTCTATTACTCACCACAGAGAACCATCCCTGCTCCTCATTAGAATGTCTGATGCTCAATTCTATGAGGACTCCTCTTTGTGACTGCTTGGTCTCACATTGACTGCTGATCTGAGGTGGAACAAATACATTGAGTCAGTAGCTTCATCCACCGCAAGGAAAGTTGACTCCCTGTGCCGCGCCAGGAAATTTTTCTTGCCGGAGTCGATCCTTCAAATCTACAAATCAACCATTTGTGCTTGCATGGAGAATTGCTGCCATATATGGTCTAGAGCCCCTTCTGTTTATCTCAAAGTTCTTGATAAAATCCAGAGACAGATATGCAATGTAATTGGCCCTGATCTGGCATCTCATCTGCAGTTGCTCTCTCACAGATGTGCCGTTGCCTCCCTCTGTCTTTTTTACAAATACTTTCATGATAAATGCTCCAATGAGCTACTTTTGCTGGTTCCCAGACTTCATGAATTTAAGCATTCAACTAGGCTGGCATCTCCCCCTCACCCTTTCACTGTCGAAACTGTTAAATGTAGCCTTCTCTTCTACTCTAATAGCTTCATGTCTCACACTTCTCACCTGTGGAACTCCCTTCCCTTTTTCTTGTTTCCCTGATAGTTATAATCCCCAACTATTCAATCGACGTCTTCAGATGCCTTGATCTATCTCCTGTTCTTCTCTTCATCCTTTCCTCTATCTCTCCTCTTTGGTCTCACTCCAACTCTCTATATCTCCTTGCGTGCTAGTGGCTTCCCCTTGTGAAATGCTTAAAAAAAATAAAAACAAAAAGCAGTACAATATGAAATACGGTATAGTTATACACACAGGTCAATCTAGTAGTGAGTACCACTAATTGGAAGGTCGGACATGCTTGCGCCATCTGGCTCTAACTCTCCCCTCATTCTCTCATAGACAGTTGACTTTATAGATACTTACTACCTATAGTGTAATCATTCATGGGGGTGCCTGGTTATTCTGTTACATCATATATATATATATATATATATATATATATATTGTGCGATTTTTTTGTCGGCAGATGTTCATGTTTGTAGCTCTTTCTTTTTTTAAAACCTTTTTTTCCCTCAAGATTGATTTGATTAGCAAATCAAAAATTCGAGGGTTTTTCGAAACGAGTCTAGTTATCTATATTTATTTATATATATATATATATATATATATATATATATATATATATATTAGTCAGTATCACCTCCTGCAAGGCAGTAATGCCACTAAAACATCATCATCATCATCATCATCATCTTATGGCCTCAGTTGAGATTGAACTCACCAATACTTTGATTGGTGTAGTTCATAATCTTGTCAAATAGCTGAATTCTTGATGCTTTTGCTAGGGCTATCAAGGGTGTTTTTTTATCGTGACACCAACACTAAATGGATTGCCAACCAAGGCTCAGAGAGACTCCATTCACCCTCCTCTAAGAGCAGGTTTGAATTCAGAGTTTTCCTTCTCCTAGACCAGATGCCATCCAAGGCTATAGAACCCAGTCTATCCTGCTATTTACCCATAGCTGGAGGGAGAAGAAAGAGGATTCACACCTTTACCAAGGGTGTTAGCACGTAAGTGAATGTAATGGATTCGAGTGAAATTCGAACTCGGCTCTCCGATTCCTCAATCCAAGCCGCTATCCATTACTCCACCGTGTCTCCTAAAACATAAGGAGTTAAGGGAAACAATAATGATGAGCAGAAAGAGAAAAGAGTAATCGGGACAAGAGTAGATAGTGATTGACATTGAATTTAAATTTTTGCAGATTAAAGTTAGCTGGAAAGCATGGAGCTGGGAGTAAGTTCAGCATGAGAGAAGTACAAGAGAAGAAATTATTAGCATAGAATTTATGGCTACATTTAACCAGCCCAACTGTCAATTGATTCCAGTCTAGTACTGTAATTAAATTCAAAAACTCTAGGTACCTTAGTGAAGAGCTCATCTGAACAATTACCATAAAAACATCTATAAAAAAACTCACAGAGAGACAATGGAAATTGACTGATGTCAAGCCACCAAATCAGGGCTGCTGATTCTTCTTTGGTTATATTAAGGAACTCAAGGTAAATAGCAGGGGCATAAGACCATATGTGGCAGCAATATTCTAATCAGGGGTGAATGGTAGACATAGATATGTAAGATAGATTCTGCAGAGAAAAATTGTTACACCCAACACAGTGAATTGACTCTCTTAGCAGCTGGCCTAACAATAGATTCAATATAGTCTTTCCACTTCATATCAGCAGAGAATGTGAAATCATTTTCCTGTTGGTTAGCATCAGCCATGCATATGGAATACAGCAAAGGGACTCTTGGATGATTAATGGAGAGAAGTTTTAGAGGTGTTAAAATTAACAAGCCTTCATTTGCCCCAGTTAACGGTGGTCATTTTGGATATTAGCTGCCATTTTGACCTTGTCAGACTAAGGCTTACTATTGAGGCAGGAGAAAATTGTTGGCCATCAGCATAGATACCAAGTTGAGAGTTGATGTCATCAGGAAAGTCATTAATAAAAATTAAAACAAAGTAAAACCAAGGATTAATACCATGTGTGTGTAAAAAAAAAAAAAAACTCTTAATAATATTTATTATGAACATGGCCACAATGTGTCAACTGTGTTTGGGAATTAAAACATTTCTATTGATAATAATATACTAAAAAAATGTACTTATTAAGACAAGCAAAATCATCCTTGATAATGGTAATGGTTAATTGATTAGTGCTTTGATTCAAAGATGATTTAGATAGTTCATACACACACTATGTCCAGAAAAGAAAATCACTTTTACGAATACAAGTAAAATATAATAAAAAAAGCTTAATTGTAGTGCTTTTCACTAATCTTCAATGAAATAAAAAAATATATATATATATATATATATATATATATATATATATATATATAATGGATAAAAACAAGAAAAAAAACTATTCTTAGCCAACATGTTTTGTCTTCTGAGCAACTTTATCAAGGCAAGGCATATTTGCCTTGATAAAGTCCCTCAGGAGATGAAATGTGTCAGCTAAGAATAGTTTTTCCTCTTGTCTTTTATTCATTTTGTTCCTGCACAGATACACTCTATCTGAAAATAATTTACACACACACACGCATGTATATATATGTGTGGGTGTGTGTATATATATATATATATATATATATATATATATATATATAGTTTTAAAAACAAGGAAACCATTGATTTTAATTTTAAAAGTCTCTAGGGCCCTTTCAGCCAACATCTCATCAGGAGACAAACGTTGGATTAGCGAAATGAATAATAGCGATATTGAAGAGCAAAAAAAAGGAATTTATAAGAATTTATAAGGTCTCTGAATCTGTTGGGGGATATTTTATTTTAACTGTCCCTCGCTAATTAATTTATTTACACGATCCCTTCCCTTGTTACAAGTATATATACTTGTTCGTTGTTTTAGTGTGTTTCCCCCTCCTTTTTTTTTGCTCTTCAATATCGCTATTATTCATTTCGCTAATCCAACGTTTGTCTCCTGATGAGATGTTGGCTGAAAGGGCCCTAGAGACTTTTTAAAATTAAAATCAATGGTTTCCTTGTTTTTAAAACTATTTATAAATTTTGTACCTCCAAACATTTGTATATATATATATATATATATATATATATATATATATATATAATATATGCATGTGTGTATATATGTGTGTGCATGTGTGTGTGTGTATATATATATATATATATATATATATAGAGAGAGAGAGAGAGTTTTAAGGTATGTTATATTCATTGCTCAACATCAGGGATATAGTTGTTGATATTTTTTTATTTCCGACATAAAGAGATTGCCATGGGTCATCAGAAAGATAAATGTCAAGAGAGAAATTAAATTCTATAATGTGATAAAATAGGATGAGCAACACAGAAGTCGAATAATTTCCCACCATCAAATAAATTAAAATTTTACCAATATCAATTAATACCAGTTGTATTGTGAAAACATTGACTTGCATAACATTTTACCTAATGTGATAAACTTTGTCGTCAGTCTTTAAATGTGTCAAATTGTTTTTGTGTGTGTTTGTGTGTTTAACACTACTGTTTACTTTTGTATATGTGTATACATGTGACAGAGGTTTGGTGCTTAAGATAGACATAATCACTGGAGTTGCACATTTATTCTTCTTTAGATTCTTAATCCTTCCATGTAAAGTGATGGGAGGTTTCATGTGAGGAAGAAATTTTCAGAAACCTTTCAACAGTACAAATTCCTCAATTCTACACAGCAGACATGAAAAGAGAATACAAAAAAATTTCATGTACAATGCGATTGGGACAATTCTGTAAGGGAAGCATTGAGAGGAAACTCTTTTCTCTATCACTGGCTTTTTTCCTCCTCCTCCTCCTCCTTCTTCTTCTGCTGGAGGAAACGTTCTACTAATGTTTATTTGCACAACATCAGTGTCTTGTTAAAGAAAGTCAACCTTTAAAGATATCTCTCTTGAAAAATAAAAATTCTCCAGGGCGCTGTCTGTCATAAGCAACAAGCTTTTGTAAGCAATTATAATACATAAACAAATGTAAGAACCTTTTGTAAATATTTTTATTGAAAGGGATTCTATCAACTCGGGTTGTTGTTAATGTTATATTTTCTGTGTTGACACTATCAATTCTGCTTCATGTTACTGTGGTCCATTTTTAAACATGTGTTCTATGTTGTGTTCCAGGGGTAGGCATGACTGGAGACGGCCTGAATACATGTGTTCTATGTTGTGTTCCAGGAATAGGGATGACTGGAGAGGTCTTGATGATCCACAACATTTCCCGTTACTGTAATGACATGTATGAGTGTGTTGCGGACAACGGAGTTGCCAACGCAGTCAACCATGTAATTAAAGTTACGGTTTTCTGTAAGTAATAAAACTATTTTGTTTATAATTGATCTACATTCATATTTCTTATCTTCTTTTGCCTCGTTTTATTGTGCTTTGATTTAGAATTCATCTTTCCTTTTTTTTTTTTCTTTTTGCTGTTTTTATTTTGCAAAAGAGTTATATCCTAATGTCTAATCATTTAGTCTCTTAATTATCTGAAGCTTTCCTAATTAAATCATTTTTGTGAGTATGTCTATGAACACTGGATATAATGTAGATATTGAGTGAAAAACAATTCCTCTGTTTTTAAAAATGGATGTTTTTTCTGTTGAAAATACATTTACTGTATACTCCCTCAGTAAATTTTATTACTTTAAAAAAATATTCTTAGATTTTTAATAAGACTGTATCATATCAAATTGTATTTGTATATATTCTTTTCTCTAGAATTGACAACAGAAATATCAGACATTATTTATTTGGATGAATTATAAGCAATTTCTCTTTTTGGAAACTAATTATAATGAAAAATGTATCATCCTAGCTACTAAACATACGTAGCAGACCCAACCCACCATTGATTTAAAAAATTTTTTAAAAAATTTAACAACAACAGAAATTATTTATGACTCTGCCTAATATTTATTCAGTTGTTTATTTTCAAGATTATAAAAGAAATACATGAGAATAAAAATTATATTTTTTAAAAGATTAAAGAATTTAATTTGTGAACTAATTATGTATTAAAAAGAATTTCATATAGTCCATAAAAGAAAAACATTTTACAAGATTTATGAAAAATATGTAGTCTGTCTATATTTCTGAGATGAGGTATTATGTACATTATTTACATTATTCGGACTATTGTCCTCATCTTTGTCGCCATATTTATCACAACGTTTTGGCCGTTGTACGCTCCAGACTTTTTCAGGTGGTTGGAATGTTGAACTGAACCTTTTATTTCGCTCACTGGGGTAGACTGTTCTAGTTCCATGTGCCATGTTTGATGGATATCAGTTATCAGTTATCTCCTGTTAATTTCCCTCTGAAAGTTCTTCACTGCCTTAACCGGGTATTGAACTCACACTGGAGAACTTTCAGAGGGAAATTAGCAGGAGATAACTGATAACAGACATCCATCAAACATGGCATGTGGAACTAGAACAGTCTACCCTAGTGAGCAAAATAAAGGGTTCAGTTCGAAATTCCAACCACCTGAAGAAGGCCGGAGCGTACAACGGCCGAAACGTTGTGATAAATATGGCGACAAAGATGAGGACAATAGTCCGAATAATGTAAATAATGAAAAATATGTAGACAAACTAATACAAATATTTATAATTTATGGTATTATAACAATGTTCTCATTACATTTAAATGAAACTTTTAAAAATATATTTTTAAAAAACAATAAAAATTACAGTGTGAGTATTTGGTAATGGTACTTTCTAGAGCAAGACACACCTTTTCTTTTGACACATCTTTTCTTTTTGCCTAGTCTGAAGTTAAACTTTGCAATTTGTGAAATGAATGCTGTTTTTAAAATTTAACATTTCCTTATATGTAATTCACATATTTCTGCACATTTTTTTTAATGTATAATGCACCTATGTCCATTGAGATTGCTTGATGTATAATGCACACATCTCCTCCAAAATTTCTTGATATATAATGTGCACATTCTCTCAAATCCCTTAAACATATAATATAACCTTTTCCTCCTAGATTTCATGATATTAATATGCACATATTTTGTTGCAAACTTCTTGACATGCACACATTTTCTTCCCAAATATTTTGACATATATTGCACATTTTTTCCACCTAAATTTCCTTATGTACATGCATGCTGTTTCTAAGAAATTCCCAAAGATACATTATTTTTCCAAACAAATATGCTTAAAAATCCATCTACACTTAATGTCACATTGCTCTTAGTTTAGGGATCAGTTAAAATAACTGAAACCTTCAAATTCACCCTTGTTTACCAAAACTGACACATATATATCCAAGAATGAAAACTACAATGAAAAATAACATTATTTGACAAAACCAAAGAATTCATTCATTATATGTTTCTTTTAGTCTGAGTTTTTTGTGTGGTAATTTTTTTAAATGATTTCTATATAATTATTATTTATTTTGTTAAATTCATTTTTTTATATTCATTGCTTCATTTTTATTTTTGTTCCTGTTTTGTTAGTAATTAAAATTCTGTAAGTTGTACTGATCAAACAATTGTTAACACATTAGTTTCTAGACAGCCATCTCTTGGGCAATATTTGTTTGCTGATATGTCCTCCATAACTCACCATGGATCATACACATTTATTTCTATTAGTCTTCTATTATTATATTTATTATTTTAAATTAAAATTAATTTCTTTTTATATATAACATTGAAACTTTTTCTTTAATTAAGTGGAACATATTAAATTTTTTTGTTTTTAATTTGTAATATGTGGAATGCGCAGACAATTTTCTTTCATTGAACCATAATTGTTTCTAAAATTGTTTGTTTGGCATAGACATGTATAAAAAGAAATAAAGGAAGCTAATACTTCTATTCAAATAAATGGAAATAGAAAATTCTTTGAAGAAAAATAAATTATTCAGAAATTTAATTATGCATAGTATATTTAGACAACAGTCATTCATATGAACATATTTTCTCAAACAGAGCAGACAACAAACGTCTGCTAAGCCTTTTGGTGTCAAATAAGTTGTTTGATGTTGTATGTAATATTCTAGGTACTTTCGACCTTCATTGGTAATTTTGAAGAAAAGAAGGTAATAATGGCCTACCATGACTTCATTTGGCAATATCTTTTCCAAGTTTCCACCTGACATTGTTTCAACATCATGAGGAACTCCCCAAAGGGCTTAACAAGCATTCCATCTTTGTTTTATTCAATAAGAAAATTAAATGTAATTAACTCCTCAACTTGTCTGAATTTCACAGGTGAATAATTATCATTATCATACAGTTATCTATTTGAACTGTTGTCTTCATCTTGTATACTCTGGTATTCTTTGAGATATTTGCAGAATGAGAACAATCTACTCATATAGATTGAATAAAGAGTTTTGTTCAGTATTTCAAGAACTCTACAATACAATAAGGAACTGAAGAAAACCAGGGTGTAAAAATGGTTGGAATGTTGTGGCTATCATTATTATCACCATCATCAGTCCCATGATTGGGTGTGGTTGTATGGACGCTCTGCAGCTAAGCACCTTACCAGTTCCCACCACATATCTAGGTTGAATGCCAGGGAGGTATTCATTTATGCATAGCATGTCTCAGGCAAGTATATCTGGCAGAGCCTATCCTTCATCAGTTCAGACCACAGCTAATGTCCTCCAACTTGAAGGTTCACCTTGGTCACAGCTGTTTATTCTATCAGGGGAACCCACCATCTTGGCCTTTCAATTCAGCCTAGGAAGACTTCTACCCAGCAAAGCCATGGCATCACAGCACTAACTTCATACATATCTATGAAGCCCAGTTTACTCAAATGTGTTTGAGGGCTGTTGACCCTACAAGAAGGTTCATCCACCCTCTGGTCTTATTTTTTAATCCTGCTCAGTGTATAGCCACCCTCCTCACAAGAAAAGTCTTGCATGGTGACTTGACATGTGACACTTGTTACTAAATGAACCCAAATGGTGACAACAGTTTGAATAAGTGGATAATGAAAATTTAATAACTGCCAAATTCTGATGTGACCCATGTTTGGTTCATATCAAAGAGTAAGACTAAATACATTCTTGGTTTCTAGACAACTCACTTGCACTTCATTTACCACTGATGACCTTCATAATATCTGAGGTACATGCTTAACTGGGCTATAAAATTCACTTGTCATCTGACTAAAAAGTATTTCTGGTTTGGGAGTCAACATGTTGACACCTAGAATTACATTATTAAACCTTTTTGTTTTTAAATTTCCTACCTTTTTTCATTTTCTTTACATTTTCAAATGTTTATATAAGCTAAGGTAAGTAGAAATGACTTGCAAATATAATGCTTTGGTTTTGACAATTTTTTTGACATTATTTCTGTTTTGTATGGATTAATTAAAATCAACATTATCAATTTTAAGAGTAAAAAAAAAACAGATACTTTACAAAATGTCTTCAGATGTGTAATACTTGAATATTGTGTATGGAACATAATGTTAACGAGAGCAAGGGAAAGAAATATTTATTTTCCCAATTTCATTTCTCTCACTATGGCAATTATCATTAACTCACGGACAGGACAGAAAAGCTGAATAGAAAAAGAATAAACATGGTTGGTTCTTGGAGAGGTTTATAATGCTATGTTGTACACAAAATTAGATATATACATATATATATATATATATATATATATATATATATATATACACACACAAATCACAAATACAACATATACAACAACAAACAGTGTGTAAGAAAGGGGAACCTTACTTGTAATATTTCCTGAAGGAAAAACTGGGTTTAAGGTGGTTTCTCTATGAACCAGGTTAGGCCATGAAGTTATTCCTGTAGGACCTACCACTGTGGGCAAGTAACATCCTTCTTCTCTGATCTCTACATCAAAACTGTCTTTGTCAATCTATTTTGTGATGTCATTCACAAGGACAGGACAGAATAGCTGAATGGAAAAAGAATAATAAACATGCTTGGTTCTTGGAGAGGTTTATAATACTATGTTGTACACAAAATTAGATATATACATATATATACACATGTCCCACACAGAGAAATTACAACATATGCAACAACAAACAGTGCGTAAGAAAGGGGAACCTTACTTGTAATATTTCCTGAAGGAAAAACTGGGTTTAAGGTGGTTTCTCTATGAACCAGGTTAGGCCATGAAGTTATTCCTGTAGGACCTACCACTGTGGGCAAGTAACATCCTTCTTCTCTGGTCTCTACATCAAAACTGTCTTTGTCAATCTATTTTGTGATGTCATTCACCAGCCATCATGTGATTCTTGTGACTATTGCAAGAAAAAGAAGAGAATTGCCATTTGCAACCCAACAATGGAAA